CCACAAATTACTTAAGTTATTCGGTTTATAAACGTGCCTGACACTTCCTCTGACGCGAAATAAACCAATATAATACACAACATAATGTTCTTTTTAGCAACGTCATATGACCCCTTTAAAATATGATTTAAAAGTTTTACTTTGCAATTCACATTAAAAAATATGCACACACTGATATTGTTATAGATCAAAATCGTGAGAATGATTTTCTGCTTTCTGCCCACCCCTAATGTCAATTTATCTTTGTTACTTTGTGTATAGTAAAAAATAAAAAGCACAGGGTCAAGCTTAGGGCTGTGATGTGTTAGGTTTCTTTATTTTTACCTTGCGAGGTGACACACAAACTGGGCGCAGAGAGTGTGGCGTCACTGGTGTAAGCGGAGCACAGGTTCTCATTAGAAGGGGAGGGTTTGAAGGACTGGAGCAGTGGGCTGCTCCCCCCAGGGGCCAGGAAGGCCTGCTGAGGCGGGTACACAGAGGGAGCGCTCTGTGCAGATAAAGTGCTGGTTGCTGTAAGACCACCAACAAAAACACACATACATATAGAAGCGCTGATCAGAGCCAGGACACAAACACAGATTTAAAGTTTCTAGGGCCGAATTCATAAAAATCGTCTAATAAAAGAAGTTAAGAAATTTTAAGGCAGTTTTTGAAAAATTGTTGAAGGAATAGTATACCCCAAGATTAAAATTTGCTTACATCTTGCCATTCAAGATTTTTTATTAATCATCAGAACAGATTTGGAGAAATTTAGCATTGCATCATTTGCACACCAATGGATCCTCTGCAGTGAATGGGTGCCGCCAGAATCGGGAGTCCAAACAGCTGATAAAAACATCACAATAATCCACACTCCATTTTCTTACAAACATGCTACTTTTCACTTCGCAAGACATTAATCAATGTACTGGAGTGGTGTGGATTACTTGTGGATTATTGTGATGTTTTATCAGCTGTTTGGACTCATTATGACGGCACCCATTCACTGCAGATGATCCACTGGTGAGCCAGTGATGTAATGCCAAATATTTCCAAATCTTGGATGGACTGAGGGTACTTTTTTTATTTTAGCAAATTTTGTGGTGTACTATTTCTTTAAGACTCAAAATATTATTTATATCAAATATTTTAAATTTTTTCTTGTAAATTACACACTATCTTAAATTTAAGAGTTTATTTACAATGCTTTTAAACAAAATTATTTTTCATCCAAGTTTCGTCTTTCCTAAGTTTTATCTTTGTATAAAACAAACTTGAGAAAAAAAATAAATATTCTGTATTAAAAAAAAAAAAAAAAACTTCACTCTTTAGTTAGAAAATAAGAAGACAATACCAGTAAAAAGAAGAATTTAATTCTTAAGAATGTTTTTTGAACCCAACCCCTGATTTGCACAAAAAGGCAAAGCAGAACAAGTGAATACCTGGCTGTATAGGACTCTTGCTTCCCTGTGAGCTATTGCGGCTGGATTTGCTGCTTTTGCTCTTGGTGGGACGTCGTCTGCGGCCGGCTGGGTTCGCAACGGGAGGGTTGACCATGGTGGGAGGTGCTTTGCCCAAGCGAGCAAAAAGGGCATCAATCTCTGCCTTCTGCCGGGTGTACAGAGCCTGACTCTCCATCATGTGCCTAGGAGGAAAATAAGGAAGTCATAATTACACTGCATATCTTTAAACTATGTTACACTTTCCTGTTACAATATATTAATCAAAACCATACTTCTCCCTCAGCTTGCTGACTTCTCTCTTAAAGTCCTCGTCTTCAAACTCTGAGTCATTGTCACTGCTGAAGTAGGAGCTGATGGAGTTGTTGAGGCTCCCGGGGCTCTGAGCCGGACCGTTGCCTACAGCTGGATGGGCTTGAGGTGCCGGCTGGGGTTCTGGGGAATGTAAGCTTGCTACAGGAGCCTCGTCCTGTTCTCTGCTCACTGAGAAACGGCCCACCTGTGTGTCAGTCTTTGTGGTCACCTCTCTCTTAAAGTCCTCGTCTTCAAACTCTGAGTCATTGTCACTGCTGAAGTAGGAGCTGATGGAGTTGTTGAGGCTCCCGGGGCTCTGAGCCGGACCGTTGCCTACAGCTGGATGGGCTTGAGGTGCCGGCTGGGGTTCTGGGGAATGTAAGCTTGCTACAGGAGCCTCGTCCTGTTCTCTGCTCACTGAGAAACGGCCCACCTGTGTGTCAGTCTTTGTGGTCACCTGGAAACGGCCAATGGTGGTGGGCTGGGGGTGGGTTGTCGTCTGGTTGGGGAGAGCAGGGAGGCCGTCAACCACATCTGCTTTCGTGTCTCTAAGGTGAGAGGAGGTTTGGTGCAGCGTGTTCTCGGGGCTAGAGAGAGTGGAGGAGGATGATGAAGAGGAGGTGGTGGTGGAGGAAGAAGATGTGGAGGATGAGTCATGGGAGGTGGTGGGAGCCTGCGGGGCGTTCTCATCAGGAGCCGTTGACACCTGAACGAGAGAGAGAACAAGAGTGCCACCTGCTGTCATACTAAATCACTATGAACATCCCGTTCCTTTTATCACATTGCGAATTCAAGGTACCTGGAATCGTCCCAGTTTGTATCCTCCAGCTGCAGGTGCAGCTTCTGTCTCATCATCCAGAGAAAACGGAACTGAAAGAGAATCATCACTAATAAGCAGAGCTGATAATGAGCCCATGTAATATGAGAACAGGCTTAACTTTTTAGCTGCCTACTTTTTGTTTAAAGAGCACATACCTGGCTGTCCTCCAGGTGGCATCCCAGTGATAGATGACTACAGTGATGAAAAAGGATGAGAAACAGATTAATAATAAAAAAAATAAAAATAAAATAGTATCAAGTTCACTTAGCCCCAAGAAACACACACATGCAGACTCGTACACTTATTACTCATGGCAAGTGCACACAAATACAGCAGGGGAACCGTGTATCTAATTAACTTCTGCATGAGATGATCTCTTACAGTAAGTACAGGGTCAGATGACCACTGCCTGGAAGAACTAAATGCTTTTAATCCAAGCTGAGGCTTCCTTTCATGTTCCACTACATATTTGTGGAATGAAGAGTAAATCCTTTAATAGGTCCATGCAACGCGGTTCCTGAAATGTTTTGTACAGGTTGGCTTGCGACTGAGTGCTATCACAGTAAGTTTTCTATTCACAAGTGATGAATGAAAAATACCACATCAAATCTACAGGATTAGAGAAAGTCTCTTGCATTTAGTACGAATCGCAGAAGGGAAGGATTTTCTCTGAGTATGACGTGAATGTAAGCAGGTTTCAATTTGGAGCAAGGAATGACTTTGATTAACTGAGAATTGAAAGAAATTGAACTTCATCCACAACATGCTAATCACTGATGTTTTAGGGGTGAAACATTACATACATAGGGGAAGTCAAAAAGTCAGAGCAGAAGCAATGCTCAAAACATAAAGCCATGTGTCAACACGCTTAAAAATAAGAAAAATAAAATAAAAAAAGGAACAATAAAAAGCAAATGTAAACTATCTTAGCTAACTAGAATTACGTCTTTTGTAAAACAACTCAAATAAATTTAACAAGGGGACAGAAAAACACTTTTATCTTTCCTTTAACCATCATAAAATAATTATTAACAAATGAGTTTGAGGTTTTATTACAGTCCCAATAAGACCAGAACGTGAATCACAACACTGCTTCATGTGTGATGATGTTTTCTGAAATCACAATCTTCCTGTTCTCCACTCGTCAACGGCAGAGAAAAAGAGAAAGAGCAGCGAATCGGAGTTAATGAGGGTCACAGGTCATGCTCCTAACCGGCCTCAAAGGAAAGCTACGCCATGCAGTGGTTTGATTACAAATATTTACTCATGCTCTGCGTGTTTTACAGGAATGCAACTATATAAAAACAGAGTGAGACAGAGAGAGAAAGAAGAAAAGGGCACCTGAGTTAAACAAGGTCCTGGGAAGGGTGGTAGGTGCTCTGTGGGTGGCGTGCCAGCCTGATCTGGGCCGACAGGCAACACCTAATGAATGAAGACGGAAGAGAAACTAAAGCATTGTAAAGATGGAGAGCTGGCAGAGGTGCCAATGAACCGCCACAAGCTACATGCAGCATAAGACTGAGTGTTATGGTCAAAGCTGTACTCAAAATGTGACTAGAGCTTTCTTCTACTATTACAGAAAAGTGTCAGTTGAGTTATATGGCATTCATGTAGGATTACAATGTCATGCATTTTGTCAGTCATGATTCTCAACAGCCATGCAGAAATTGGGTTTAAAAATATGACTAAAATCATACAGGTTTCAATACTGTTAGTGGTTTGAGGGAGGGATGTTAAAATGCGATGTTAAAGACAAGAACAGTGTTTGCTTTAACTGGCACCATGATGTCTAACTTATTTGCATTGTGACATTGTTTTCATGACAACTATGCCCCAAATGTACATTACTGTATATCTACACACACACACACTACAACTGTATACTCACTACCATTTAAAAGTTTTTTTTTTGCTTTTGTTTTTTGGGACTCTTTGATGAATAGAAACTTCAAAAGAACAGTATTTATTTAGAATTTTAAAATGTTGTAACATTATAAACATCTTTACTGTATCTTTTGATCAGTTTAATTTGTCCTTGCCGAAAACAGTATTAATTTATTTTAAAAACTGCAATAATGTAAATGATTCTGCCTAGACACATTATTATTATTTTTTTTTGCATTTATAATTAAATGAAGTTTATTTAAAATAGAAATCAATTATATATATATATATATATATATATATATATATATAGTAACAAATTATAGTATAATTAATTTGTTTTTTTGCATTATAGCACTTACATTTGAGGGACAGTTTACTTTTAATTTAAATAAAAATAATGCCACAATTCAAAAAATCGTAACTGTGCTAAAAATAGGCTTTATTTGCTTTGTAAAAATATAATTCATTTTTTTCTTTGATTTTGTGGTATGACCTATACATGTTGACAGGTTTCTTGAGAAACTTTAAATCAGCCTTTTGAATTTTTGACAAATAGGTCACTCACCGGTAATCTTGATAATGGCGCTTTGGATGGAGTCGTCTGACTGTAGCCGACCGGTGTGGAGGCATTACCCATGGATGTCATGGGAGAGCCTGTGGGCTGACCGGTGTTAAGGGGTAAACTAGAGGGAGGGAGAGGGGTGCCGCTAGGGGTGGCGCAGGCAGTTGGAGAGGAGGTGCCAGGGACGCTTGTGGCCGCCATGGGGTCAGATGTGACATCAGACTGAGCAGAGGGAGGACCAGAGCCCAGGTCCATGAAGAGCGAGCGCAGCTTTTTATCTAGAGCCTGAATGTCATCAACACCCTTTCCCTGCGGGTCGCTGTCACATTCTACACAATGTGCATGGCTCTGATTGGGCACGGTGGTGGTTTGAGGTTGGCTGTGCATGGGTGTGGGCTGCACGATGGGTATGTTGGTGGTAACCGGCTGGAGGGTGGGCACTTGTGACTGAGCAGCCGAAGTGGGAATAACCGTGGTGGTGGATGGTGCGAGCGGCGGTGTCTGGATGGCTGTGGTGGGGATGACCGGTGGTGTGAGCTGAGCTGAAGTGGAAGGGATGGGTGGCTGTTCACTACTGCCACCAGAAACAGATCCCCTAGGACTGACGGGGTGAGCGAGCGGGGATGCAGTACAGGCAGGTGCGGGCATGGGGACTGAGGTTTGGGGGAAGGATGTGGTGGCAGGCACAGCTGGCATTGGCAGAGAGGAAGGAGTGGAAATAACACTGATGATGGCAGGTACAGCTTGACTTGGAGGCAGAGGGAGTTGCGAATGGGCTGGAGGGAAGGTCACGGAGGAGGCAGGAAGGGTAGGAGGAGGAGACGATGACCCTGGAGGGTTTATGGAGACAGAGGGTAGAGATGGTGAAGAGGTTACTTCAGAAGACACTGTGGGAGGGACCACCGGCGTGGCGCTAGAGGGCAAGGGTGCTGCGGCAGGAACCAGAGGGGGCATGGCGACATGAAGCATAGGCGGCGCAGTGCTGGGACCCGGGTCAAAACGGCCTTGGCGCATTTCAGAGAACGCCTGCTGTAGACTAACTGCAGACGCAGACATAGAAAGCCCCAAGGCAGGCAGTGCAACTGACACAACTGATAAAGAAGAAAAATTCAAGACAGAAATTAATATGCAGTTGCATAAGTTGTCTAACATCTTCTAGTCTAGGCTATTTGTACTAGGAGTGATCTTAAAATGTATTTTCTGCATTTCTACTTCCTAATCTAGTTGTCAAACAAACCATGCATTGTAAATTACAAATACTGTTGTCTCGTTGACTAATTGCTTTTGCACTGCTAAATGCATAAATGTATTATCTAACCTATAACATTATTTCACATAGTACACTCACAGGATGAAGGCTCTTCGATTGTGGGTTGGGGTGAGCTAAAGAACTGTTCCCTCAGTCTGGATTCAGGCACTGGACTCACGATAAACCTTCGGCCTGCAGAGTGGACCACCTGGGCAGCTGAACTAGGCGGCACACCTGAGAGGGAAAAAGATTTCAGTGCTGATGCATCATTAAAAGGGGACATTAACTTGTTTTACATTGTGGGACTGTAAGATTTACCTTGTTCAAGAGGTGCAGATGTGGTGGGCATATGCTGCTCGTGATCACTAATCGTCTGGAATCATTGGATATACATTGTTAACTGTGATGTTCACAAGAATCACTTCAACACAAAAACAGTACAACAAGGTACATACCTGGCTGCGCTCTCTCTCCACACCTTTCTCATCTGCTGTTTCTATGACCTCTCGAATCTGCTCGATGAAGGACTCGCGCTCGCTCTCTAGAATGAATTCACTTTGTACCTAAGACATGACATAACGCCTCTTCTTAATGAGTTTTGGCAGCTCAAAGTGTATTTTGGAAACAGAAATGTAATTTTATTCGACATCAGCTTTTTGATCAAGATCAAAAGAAATCACAGGTTAATTGAGCATATCTGTTCAGTATTAAAAATACGGGTGGTGTTTCAAGTTACCATTATCTGTGCAATTTCCTCTGGGTTATGTGACATTGTTTTCATGACAACTATGCCCCAAATGTACATTACTGTATATCTACACACACACACACTACAACTGTATACTCACTACCATTTAAAAGTTTTTTTTTTGCTTTTGTTTTTTGGGACTCTTTGATGAATAGAAACTTCAAAAGAACAGTATTTATTTAGAATTTTAAAATGTTGTAACATTATAAACATCTTTACTGTATCTTTTGATCAGTTTAATTTGTCCTTGCCGAAAACAGTATTAATTTATTTTAAAAACTGCAATAATGTAAATGATTCTGCCTAGACACATTATTATTATTTTTATTTTTCTGTTGTGTGTTTCTAATTGACACTCCGCAACTCTATCGCCCATTCTGGATATCTGAAACACACATCATGTTTTATTTAACATCTCGTGTTTTTTCCCCACCATCAAAAACTACAAAAACAATAAAAGAAAAAGGCCAATGTGTTCGACGTACATTAAGAACGTTGAGCTTAGCCTTTGAGGTTTTTTCATGGCGTGAACGGCTGCGTACTGATCTGCGCTGGTGTCTTTTGGCAGAACGACCCTCATGCCTGCCACCCGTTACGCCCTCATTACCATCGCTATGCCCAGATGCCACATCAGAATGACAGCTAATGGAAAAAAAAAGAAGTGAACACACCATTACGACTTTAGTAGTACATCACATTGCATCTGCGTCCACTGTGTATGCTTTTGCATTGTTTTTCACTTACTGATAAACACATTGTGAAGATTAATAGTGTTAGAGTGTTAATTAGTGTTAGACAAATAAGCTAAATGGTGATTCTTACCTCTCCACAGCAGGAGTTTGGAGTTGTGACAGCTCTGTCGTCAAAGTCTGAGAGACGCTATGAGATGTCTGGAAGAGCAAACAACAAAAACAAAGGAATTGTAATAGGAAGAGATGCAAACAATCAGATCAAAGAAGACAAAATAACAATGCATGTCTAAATAAAAAGTACAACTGCTTCAGGCAAAGCCTGAGTGTTTTCTAAAAAAACAGATCTTATTTCACAGCCGAGAAAAGAAAGGACGCTGCGTAAGGACAGCTAAGCAGCTATGCTTCCCAGACAAATAGAGATAAAAATAAGCATGACATGTCAATACAATAGCTTTGCCCTAATAAAGCAAACAAAAACTGTCTGCACTGATGCGTTTGGGGCCGGTTCGGTCTGTTCCAGGTACCTGCGCTGGGGTGTCTGATGGCAAACATGGATGTTCGTTGGGGGAAGGGACTGTGGCCACATGGATGGTTGGCACAGGTGTCATTAGAGGCGGCACCAATTGGAGCAGATGGGGCGGCAGCGCTGATGGGGACGTGGCTGGAGCAGGCACAGCTGCCGGGCATGTCAGCGCTTCAGGCACTGGCTGCTGCGGAAACGGGGCAACTGCTATAGTTGGCGCGCAGAGAAGCTGGGGGAAAGTACGAGAGGGGTAGCTGGATCAGATCAGTGTGGTTGGGATTATGGAGGAGGAGGGAAATGTGTCTGCAAGCACCGACCGGGAGAGATGGAGACGGCAAGGCCAGTTTATGTGCAAAAGGAGCGATGTCTTAATAAACCGAAGGTAAACAATCATGAAATCAGACCACATGACAGAGACAGCATGCTACGGGGTGATCGGTGGATCACAACGACCGCAAGCAAAACACACATGAAAAACAAACTCTAATTTAAGCGCCAAATGCTTATTAGATTAAGTTAGGAGGGGCGCCTTTCTCTAAGTGCCTATAAACGTTCTCACGGTCAACAACACACTAAATAAAATCCAAATCCAACACCACATCAAACACAAATAACACAATTTATTTATTTGTGACAGAACCCACATCTGATAAATCACAAGTAAACAACTTTTCTGTGCCACTACAGTGTACCTGTGCTTTCAGCTGAAGGGAAAACAATAGCTCTGCACTAAACATTGGGAACTGAACAGAGAGACTGATCTCATTACCACACAACTGACAACCATGCAACATACAGGCAGAAACATGCCAGAAAACATCTATCAAACAAGCACAGCCTAGGCACGTCAGAGAGGCGGCCACAGATACACTGTACATTGTTTTGAAACAGAAAAAGAGGGAAAGAAAAACAAACAAAAAGAAGAAAAAACTTCTACGAAGTAATTTACAAAGTTAACATGAAACTGCACACAGACAAACACACAATATAATGCTATATATTTTAATGTTTCAGTAGTAATGCAAAACATGTATAATAAATTATAAAATATATTTAACATTACTACTTAAACATAATAAATCTTTAAATATGTATAATATAAAATATAAATATATTTTTAAATATATATACAAACATAAAAAAAATATTTTTTCTTTATTTATTATTTTTTCAGTATTTTTGCTTTTAGCTTGATTTGCTTACATCACATTTGATTGTACCTGTGTGGGCTGGGGGCCGGGCTGGACCTGCATCTGGGAGCTGCTCTGAACCACAGTGCTGGGAGGCTGTTGGGGTAACGAGACTCCTGGTTGGGATGTCGGCCCCAGAGAAGCCTGTTGCGGAACAGCAGCCTAAAAAGAAAGTAAGCATTTTGGCATGAAATACTCTCTATCCCAATCTCCAAGCCTTAGAAAATGAGTACATTTTAGGATCATATGCAGTTTGCACTCAACCAGCTTATTCTATTAGGCCTATGCAAATAATCTAAATAAAGACTTTTCCTTTAGTTTGTAAAAACTAACAAAACATTGACATTTTCATTTACAGTAATGCCCTTAACATGCAAGTATATGGGGCAAGGCATTGCACAAGAGCATAATACCGTAACCCATAACTAGGAGTTTAACCGGACAGTGTTCCCACCACTAAAATAAGCACTTACAAAAATACTAGCTTCACATTCTTGCTTTGAAACCCATTTGAATGTCTTGCCCCATAGACCTACATTGCAAGTGCATTACTGCAAATCAGATTTTTGTTTTTACAAACCAAAGGACAAAACTATGGTGTGTGCACGTCAGAGACGCTGTTCACGGTGCTAAACCTGGAACATTCCTTTAAATAACTTACCTTTGAAGAACAACTCAACATAGACATACTAAACTTTATTTAATTTGCACACTCATTGATCTTGACCTCGGTCTTCAAGACAGTGACAAGCTTTTCAAGCCTCATTCAAACAGAGCAACATTTTGTCACCTACAGTACCTCATTATGCAATAATGTAATGACAAAACTTAAGATGGCAAGGCAAAGAGCTTCAAAGTAAAGTACAGGTAAATGAGAAAATAGGGCGAGAGAAAAAGAGTAAGAGAGAGAAAGAGAAGAATAGGGGTTTTCTCTACCTGCGAAGGGAGTGCTTGGACGTAGTAACCTCCATACTATAAGAAACAAATACAACACAGTGTAAGAGAAAGCCACCTCTGATGTCCACAGCTTTCACACGCAGGAGAGAATCCAGAGAGATTTAAACCAAAAAAAAAACCTCAAAAAGGTCTTGGGAGTGTTTGGAAAATGAGTGCTTTATTTGCCTTGGCCAATATTGGATATTCATTTATGCTAACGAATGGGGGAAAAGATCATTCTGATTGGTCAGACACATTGATCTTACCTGTTGAGAAGCAGAAGCGGCTAATGGGGTGCTGGAGGAAACCAGAGACATGGCACTTGTGGACTGAGGGATTGGGACCTGCACCTGTTACGAATATGAAGAGGAATATGGGGGCAGGCGAGAAAGAGAGAGAGAAACAGAGAGAGAGAAAGAGATATGGCAGTGGTGGAGAGATGAAAAGAAAAAAAGACAAGTCAAAATATGTTGGTGGCTACAGCGAAAAACAACAATGACTTTCAAATACTGACCATTCATACACAAAGTGTGAACACTCTGAGCAATGCACTCAGATCACCATTCACTTTTTGTGTATGCCTCTCACATCTCACGATTAAACGACAAACAAACATCAGGTGTTAGCCAGGGGAGTGAGTAGGCTTCATGCATGTGACTCTACATGATTCTGTAGTTCGGGTGAATGTTATAAAAAAAAAAAAAGCTCAGGGAAGCATGTGGAGTTGTTTGTATAACCAAGAAAGCGTCTCCTAAAATAGACCTGACCACTGACATTGCTCAATTTGACCACTTTCCCCCCACATGGAGGGTTTTGACATAAGCAACCCTTAGAAAGCTACAAGTATACTTGTCCTTTAACTTCTTTTCTGCGAGGTACAGACAAGTATAGTTGCCCCAGATGCAGATCACCTTACCTTGGCATTATACTGAAGAATTTATTCATTATTAGCAAGAGGTTTAAGGAGCAGCAGGAAATAAAGTAGCCTTGGCAGATAAGAGGATGAAAATAACAGTGGTACAAAAGATAAAGAGAGGCAGGAAATAGGGGCGGAGAATGAGACTACAGGATGACATTGAGAATGCCAGCCTTCTAAGGGTTAAAAATGACTTCTCAGTTAATGAAGTTAACATCCTAAAAGTAGTCAACAAATGCTGAGTTCTTGCGCTGGTAGGCTGTTTCTCGGCTGGTGTCCTCGACAAAGACAAAATTGAAAACTGAAAGTCACTGAGAACCGTTTTAACCATTTCCAGCCAACTATGATGTAGCAGCAGATCTAAAAAGCAGCTGTTAAGGTAGAATACAACCAAAAAAAATTTTTTTGTAAGGAAGATTAGAGGAACCTTAAGAGACAAGCAAACCTGTCTAAACCCCCTCTTTGTATTGTATGTGTCTGTGTGTTTGGTCATACAAATCCTGCATTCAAGCCTCTTTTTAAGTATCTTCAAATCCTTTAAAAAACATATTTCGAGTGTTGATTATTGACCTTTATCATTAGAATAATTTGAAAGAGGCAATCAAAACTTCAGATTTGTATGCCATCTACAGATATGTAGCGTTACACAATATCTGTGCAAACACACAAGTATCATATACACCATTATATGAACATACACACAAAATAATACTTACAAAGTGAATCTGAAATGAAAAACCAATGGAAATAAAACAAATCACACCATCCAATGGAAGACACAGAAATGTCTTTGCACAAGGGGATTTAAAAAGCAGGTTTATGCATTTAGCTCAATGCACCTTGTGAACCTTTCTGAGCCCTAAATTATGGCTGGAGAGGGTTAAAACCACAACCACGGGACAAAAAAAATTATCAGGTAACTGAGATAGACAGGGAGTGCTGGGGAAAGGTGGACGAGAATGAGTATGTCTAGGTACCAAGGTAGCGCCCTGATGGGACAAGGCAGGCTCGTGGTATGTGAGGTCCGGTGGAAGGGATGGTTGATGGGCCCAAGTACTGTGCAGAGCAGTGATGTGTGAGGACGGAACGGTGGACGATTCAGAAGGTGGAACGAACAGAAACATTGTCTGACTGGGTGGGTGTCCTTCGCTGATGTTACTCCCTCCATCTGTTTTGTAGTAAGACGTTTGTGGGATGGATTGAGCAGTGGAACAGTCTTGAGGTTGGTACAACTGATGAGGCGGAGGCGAGTGGAACTCCCCAGCATCGGAGGAGGTTATAGAGTCACTTGAAGGTTCAGGACTGAGTTCTTTAGGTCCATGGAGAAGCAGGCTGCCCGGGGGAAGGGGCAGCTCTGGGCTCACATAGCTGTATAGTTCTTCGGTGACAGGCTGTAGTCGTCCACACAAGCCCTGGTTGCCAGTCGGTTCCTCGAGGTTAAGGTCCATGGAGCCCCGGCGGGCTCGGTAGAGTCTGGATGCCAGCATGGCTGGGTCCACCTGGAGGTTGTGCATGTGGTATTCAAAGGCAGTGCTCGGCTCGGATGTATGAGCCAAGACGGGTGGTGCAGAATGGGGAAAAGAGTGGGGCTGATACGCTGGATCTGCAGCTGTGGTTTGCTGCGGTGCAGAGGCAGAGCTAGACACACTCATGGGAGGCAGTTGCGGGATGGGGCTGTGGGTCAAGCGTATGTGGCTCTGGACATGAGGGTGTAGGTAAGCTGGCCCAGGCTGTGATTGAGTCTCATAGGCCAAGCTAGCAACAGCGGCAGCCTGCATTTGCTGATGGAAGCTGATGTGGCTTAGCTGATGCGCAGTCATAGGGTAGCCACTATAGGCCATGGCTTCCAGATGGTCCATTAATGCAGCCTGGTTGAGGCTGAGTCTGCGTACAGCCTCCTCTTGCTCGGCCCTCACGTCCTTATATCCGTATAATGACTCTGCTGGGGGCTGTAGGTGCAGTGGCTCAGCCAATCTTTGAGGCGCCATACTGGGCATCATGAACAGGGAGGGTTCGACGCCGGGGCCCAGAGCTTCCATGCCAGAAAATGGGTGCAGGCTGCTGCCGTAGCTACGATGGTAGGCGGGCTGGAAGTGACGTGTGTGGGCCTCCAGGATGGAGGTGCTCTTGCGGCGCTGCACGTTGAAAGCTTTAGGCGGGCAAGATGGTGGGGGGGAGAACGAGACGGGCCGTTCCGGGAAGGTGGGGTAAAAGAGCGGGGGCTCGACCAGACCTGAGCCTCCTCCACCGTACGGCTGACTCGCTGATTGCGGCTGCGGTGACAATAACATACAGCATCTTTGTGAGGAAGTAGAAAAAGCAGCATCACAAAATTCACAAAGCAAGAGAAAGAGAGAGAGAAAATAAAAAGATGACACGTGAAAACACAGCAGATTATATTCATCCAATCAGGCAAAGATGACATAAGGAATAAGTTAAGAGATGTTTAACTGCTAAATGAGGTGTAGAAACATGACAGTGACAGATTTACAATTAAATACAGATGCCTTACAGGCTGTGGGGCCGAGGAACCATTTTTAATGATTGCAGTTCATGCCAATCTGTATTTAATGTGAGCACAGGGTTCCAGCCGAGTGGGCCAGGGTAACATGGGTATCTGAAAAATACTTTAATATGTCTTCATATGCTCAAAACTGACCTGTGGTCAACCCCTCATATTCTCAAGATTTATAACTCAATGATTTACGCAATGATTTAATCAGATTATTGGCTCAAGTGACTATGCAACTATGAACCTTTGACATACAAGAAAAGATATAAACAAGCTATTTATACTTGATATATTACATAACAGCTAATTTGTGAAACTGCATTATTCATAACACGCTACTTTTTGCTAGCTTAATGCTTACATTCCTAAGAGACTAACATCAGCTGGGGACTAGACAGACTTAAAAAGAACTGCAGTTTGCATTTTTAAGTCCAATAATGGTTTTAATGTTAACACTAAACACTTAGAGATTGTTAGGCTTAAATGTAATGTTTTTGGATTCTGAATAGCTCACTTTGACTTAATAATGTAGAAGGATGCCATTTCATTTTTAGATCACACCTTTGGTGTTTTAGGGATGTAAATATTGGCCCTGAAAACAATTTAATTTTACTGCATAAATTTGGATTATATTTGCACTCCCAAAACTCTTTAAGCTTGTTTTGTCTTCTTATTTTAGTAAAAGTATTCTTCACAGATACCCATGTTGTACCCAAGTCCAGCACAGCAGGAGAATCCTGGTTCACTGGGAGACACTAACATACAGGACTGGCAAAGATTGCTGGGAGACTGGCACGGCGACGGGGTGGGGCTGAGTGAAGGGGCAGGACACTCTCCAGTGCTTTGGACAGTCGGCCCGCAAACGTCTCCCCATCTGGCCTCCCCAGCCGGGGCGAGAGCGGGGCTGATACGATTGGTGGAGGGGTGGAAAGATTGCTGGGAGACTGGCACGGCGACGGGGTGGGGCTGAGTGAAGGGGCAGGACACTCTCCAGTGCTTTGGACAGTCGGCCCGCAAACGTCTCCCCATCTGGCCTCCCCAGCCGGGGCGAGAGCGGGGCTGATACGATTGGTGGAGGGGTGGAAGGTGGCTTGGGAGGACATGACAGAGCAGAGGTGGTAGAAAAGCAGGGCACGCAAACAGACATGCTACGACGACGGGGAGGTGGAGGAGGCTGGAGGTGAAGGAGGGGAATTGACTATTAACCACAATGGAACACAAATGACACAAAAAGCCAAATAACCAAAAGAAAACTACAAGGAAACATTTGATACAAGATTAAATATCAACATTGCATTCTAAGATACTACACAGAAAGAAAAGCGACATTGATCTACAATAAACTTTGACCTACATACAAAGGTTACATGTTGATTAAATCTAAGATCTGCTGTCGAGTCAGATCAAAAGAATGAGCCTGGTTCAATTGATGATTTATGATGTTTCAAAAGCAAAAATTGTTTTGCAACGACCAACATGTGTTATCAGTAACAGAAGCATTTATGCTATGATGATTGCATGTGACAATATCAATACCTGATTCATGAATCATGAATTGTGAGCAGATTTTGAGATTAAATTAATACTTTTCAAAACTGATCTGAGATTGATCAGGTTGCATGTTGTTACACAGAAACTTGGTGTGTTAATAACTGGAAAATATATGGATAAAAACTAAAGAAATGGCACTAAAAATGACATTGTCACTGCTTAAGCAGCATCCAGACTCCAAGAAATCTACAGCATAGACAGTCTACCATGTAGACAATGGATACAAATTGCGGTTAGCAAAGTCCATGAAAACATCGCTGAAAATCGTTCCTCTGAGATGTTTTATGATATAGAACAGCATAAAAAGAAGTATATACAGAATATGGACAGCAAAAACAAAGACCACAAACAGCACACTGGGTATAAAAAAAGAAGAACAAAAATAAATGTACAATAACAGTCATCAGTGCCGTGCAGACTTTGAGTTGGAACTAACCAGCCAGTCAGGTGAGAGGGTATTTATTAATAATAAAAGTAAATCATTAGAAGTTGCACATACAGACAACTAGAGTAAACAGAGTCTTTGACATCAAGGTGTGTGCTTATGACTAAAGTGTTTCAGGCTCTATGGAAAATGATGCAAACTAATTCAAAACTAATGAGTAAGAAGAGATGAGAAACTTGCTAAAAAAAATTCAAAGCCCCTGAGAAAGATCCAGACAATGCCCTCTATGAATGATGTGACGCTGATGTACTGAAATGATCATGGTTTAGGTGCCCAGGATGGCGAAAACAACCATCCAGGAAGTGATGAATGCCCACCAGTCTGCACAGCATGATACACTGCTACATGGCACTTCCTTTTTGGGAGGAATCAAAAATACTGACATGAAACAAAAAGAAATAAGGTAAAGTAATCCAAAGAATGTATTACAATGCAAAGAGGATGAAGAGGGAGTGGCAGCTCAAGTAAACGTGGGAAGTGGAAATATACTTGGCAGTCAGAAAATAAAGAAAAAGCGAGACAAAGAGAGAGAGAGAAAGAAAGAACAGAGCAGGCTGTATGAAAAGTATCAAACCCATTTAGAGTGTAGACGTTATGGCTTTGCTTTCCTTTCTCATGCATCATTCATTTAGTGTCTGATAATAACAAACCATTATCAAACTCCAAAGATAAATACATGCAACCACAAAGAGATCATATTCAAAAGTCAAACAACAATTGAACATTGATTCATGATTCATTTGTTACTTAATCAAGGCTACACAAATTCTCTAAAGATCATATCTGTATTGCTTCATTGGGTTCTTACCTTTGCACAACATGAAATATTATGGGAGACATTTGAACTAAATAGGTTCTAACTGAAGATAAACATGTGGCCACATGATTTATTAAATTAACCTGTCAATATCAAGGCCAAGCGTACACTACCATATAGAAACATGTTTTCCTGAGTGCATATATATATATATATAGTTGCTTTTTGCATTTTAACAGCTCTGTGCATCAGAGAATCTTTTGAGAAGTTTGGTATGGTACACTGATCATCATTTTGGCTGGAAAATGCTACTAGAATGTTGTGTGGAATTCGTCCTTAGGCATCAGTTGCAAAAATCAGATTAAGGATGCAACTACGTGACCTGCTACACTGAACCTGCAATTATGTGTTGAGTTCTTGACTTCGGCCCTTCTTTTTCTGTGACTTACCATGGGCTGTTGGGGGTATGCGGTGTGCTGTTGGGGAGCTTGAGAGCTGGGAGGGTAGGCAGCCTGTCCAGGCACCTGCTGGGGTTGCGACACGGCAGGAGAACTATACGACATGCTGAGCTGGCTGAGGTGAGGTTCTGAGAACACGGATGAACCCTGACCACTGTCAAGTGTCCTGTCAGCCACTGAAAAAAGATATGACATTCATAATTAAATAGGAAATGACAGGTAGGTTGATAGACTGATAGATTGCATCTAACACTTACAGGTCATTCCACTTTGCATGTAATGAAGCTGATGGTCAACATCAGGCTCCTCACACTCGGGCTGGGCGAGGCCAGGAGTTGGAGGCTGGGAACCACACTGGCTCTGTGCAGAACCTTGAGAGCTGGGCACGTTCTTCAAAGACTCGCTGGACAACTGCTTCTGCTCCTCCTCCTGCTTGCGTTTCTCTTGCTCGGCTCGCACCTGCTGTCTTTGCTCTCGTTTGCGGCAGATCAGGGACACACGGTCTCTGATGGCCTTGGCCATGGTTTTGTGGTCACCCTCGCAAACATAGCCAGACTCAACCTGTATTTAAACATAGCATATGTTACCATCTACATGTGCTATATCTGATTCAGAGAATCGTTGATAAACCCACCATTTCCTGAGCCACATCTTCTGGCACGTCCCGATGGAGGTCGAAGGAAAACTCGATGGCTTCGTTGTCTTTGTATTTGCCTTTCAGTTTCTTGACATCTTCAATGCGCAACCAGAGCTTGATGGCGATCATCTCCCCATCGTCCTCTTCAGCCAGCTCCACCCGCACCCCAGTCTCCTCCTGGAAGAACGCATGGTTCAGAAGGTCCTTGATGGCGTATCTGGTAAGCAAGATGATAAGCAAACAAGGCAAAGATGTTAAATAAGGATAGCCAATCAATAAAATAAATTTAGAAGCACGTGGCTGACAAAGATAAACCAAATCACATTTATTACACTGGTGGTGGATGAGGAGATCCCCCCTCACAATGTAAAGCACTTTGAGTGCCTAGAAAAGCGCTATATAAATGTAATGAATTATTAATTATTATTATTATTATCAAATTTGGAGGCACACGGTGGAACATTGAAACATTGGGGTTGTCCAGGATGGATTAATAAAAGAGTCACTGAATGATTCAAGATAGGCGAAGTCAAGCAAAATAAACTAAAAATATCGAGGACCTGACATGAATTTGAGTGTCTCATGATCAAATTGATGTTTATTGGGTTTCAGAACTCTCCAGACATGAAGTTTTATAACTTGGCGCCATTCTGTGGCGATGTCGCATCAATGTCATGAAAAAAACGTAATCATCCCTGGTTGTGTAGCGATAAATATTATATCCAACATTCTATCCGGTTGCACTTGATTCCACGGAACAAACTCATTCTCAATTCACAACCCAACAAGAGGAGACATAAGAGGAAATCTATGAATGTTTAACATGAACTCCAAATAAAATGTGCATATATTAACAAATTAAACCACACAGGATGTACGTACAGGGATTGACCAATTAAAACACATTTAAAAAGAGCTGATCCACGTCACCTGCATGGAACGATAGATATAAGGGTAAAAGATAAGACTGCACAATCTTTTTTTACCAAGTCAGACCTCAGAAAAAAATAAATAAATCTCAAGTGGGCTCTGTTGATTAGCTGGATATAGTAGACATCAGCTTTTCCAGTGCTTCATCAGCGGAACATCAGACGTCGTCTCACCTTACGCTCGACACGTTGTTTGCGATTTTCCATTCAATTTTTTTATGCACTGAAGCAAAACAGAGCATCAGCTTTATGACTTTCCACAAATTACTAGGAAAAATACTTCAGATGGTGATCAAGATCATTAAAAAACATATTATAGCTAAAATTCAATATGCATGCAAAATACGAAATCAAGATTTTTTGGCTTGGACATTTAGGTAGTTGGACTTGAACAGGAGGCTTGTTTTTTCTGTGGCGTGAGGACACAGCGCACTCTTCGCTGGCTTGGTGTGATCACAGATCCATTTCACAGAGTGGCTTGTTGCTGGAATTTTTCCAAAACAGCGTGTGGGAAACCACTTATATACTGCTACTATTCACATTCCACATGGAGGACCATGCGCCTAAAGATTGCGATATATACTCACAAGTTCATGGCACACGTCGCTGAGAACTGAGGTATGACTAGATGAATGAGTTCTGTGAACACAGCGTGGGTGTGGGTAGTAGGCACATCCTTACCTTTCATCTTTGTTTTGGCGAATACATCCCTCGATGATCTCTTTCACCTCTGGAATGGCTACCTTGTCGAAACTGCCAGGTTTAACTCCCTGCGGGGTAAAAACACAAAAGAACATTAAATCAACATGTCTTTTGTGCTGTGAAAGAAATCCCTTTAGAGCTCCACAGGGACTCAACAGGACTACATATGGTGCACGCTTTACGCACTTTAGTGCCTGCCAGGTGAACACCATCTGATCAATTTCTCAACAAACCACACAATTTGAGATGGCAGAAGACGAGCCAAAGTTTAATACTTAAGGTTGAGAGTTTATTCAGATTCCTAACCGCAAGTATGAGCAGTAGTGATGTCTGCCATAGTAAGCACTAATAATAAGTGTTTTTTGATGGCACAAGTATAAATGTGGCTTGCATTATAGTGAAACCCGTGACATTCCAGATATAGCTGTTTATCTGACAGATTAACTAATTTTGCTGAACAAAGTTACCTTCCCAGTGATCAGGAACACTTAAATCTATTAAGCCAGGATTTTTGAAGGAAGAAAAGTGAATAGTTATGAATAATGAATAATTTATGAATATTTTTTTTTAATTGATAATATTATTTCCCAAAAATATTTTAAAGATTCATTTTGGCTTTAGTACAATGATGACATATTTATCCAATTATTTACAGTAATTAATTATTTTAATTTATTAAAAAAAAAACTGAATTAAGATACACATAAAACACTAACACAGAATTCCTTTATAGATTATAATTCAAATTAATATCTAACGGAAATTGAGGGTACACAGAGTACTAATACAAATTCTGCTCTAAAAAAAGCTAATTTTACTACTAAATATTAATTTATCATTTACTTCACTCTTAAAAATACAGTCAAAACTTTGGTCACCTCAGGGGTAAATGTTTAATTCATTTTATTAAATTTCACTTCATCTCTACAAATCAGAATGGATTTCTAGCAACACACAATCTCATTACCAGCCATCAGATTTAGCACGGGAAAACAACAAATTCCACAATGATATAAAACCAACATATTACAAATCAATCTTACTCAACAAAAATCTTCTGCTACTTTTCCTGCTTTGTCTATTTTTAAAATTGTGAAATGACCCTTTTAAAATCATTTAACATTAACAAAGCCTACATAGAGCTAGAGCTGTCAAAACCACCCAAGACAAAAAGAGTGCAAGAAACTTACAAGTGAAATCCAGGAACACTGTGTTGCTTTACAGAGTGGTCTGCCTGAACTATTACTCCCCCTGTCTCAGCATTACCTCCTTATATAAGTCTATAACCCCCCTCAAATTCCAGTGCCAAACAAAGTTAAGGATGACGGAGTATCTAACAGAATTAAGGCAGAACGTTGAAGTATTCCGATAACAAGGTGATTTAAAAAGCTTGTTATGTACGCTGTGAATGGGTCCCCTAAAGCCAGATACATTCTGTTCCCCAGCTCTCCTACCGGTTAACAAAGGCGGTAAATTAGAAGCAATCATTTTGTATTTAACAAAGCAGAGAGAGAGGAGGGCTCCTGGAACAGCTGGGGGTGGATGTAGAAAAGGAACAAAAGCAATCTTCAACTTCTACTCTCTACAACTCCCCAAGCGACAAAATGTTACGATGCATAAGCATACTGAAGAATACTATTTTCTGGTTGAACTCCTTCGATGCCAGTCATGCCACATCTTGAAATTACTTTCAAGGGTTGGAAGATATAGCCAAATGACTGGGACATTATATCCAAACTAGACTTTCACCATTTTTTTCATGCTCACATCAAGTTTCTATGACATTCAGGTGAACATTCTGGTACGAAATGCGATCAAGGGCTTATTTTGGACTCTTTTATCATCTGGTAAGCATAAATTGTGAATGTTAAGTTAAATTCTGAAGTGTAATACTTGGCAAGAGTACATCTACAGACAATACTCACATGGACTTTACACCACAAATCTGATGCCATTGTTGTCAACAAACCAATTTTCCAGTGAATAAATGGCAACACTCTGTCCAGCTGCAGTGCCATTCATTTCAGCTCCACTTCTAAAGTCTTTGCTTTAATCACTATAAAAATAAAAGGGAAGATCTGCATTGCAGTCAAACCTGTGTGGCTCTAATTCCATGAACACTTGGAATGAAACCACTCCATGGTCACTGCTTCGAGATTACAAGCAGCGTTTGCAGATGTTTCGAAAGAAAGAACAAATCTGGTCAAGATGGCGCCGACGCTGATGGCTGCCTCCGTGGCGTGCTCCGCAGTTGTTTTTATGTTTTTGTTAGTTTGTCCTGTCTTTAGTTATATCCCTGCAATCAGTTTCACCAGAGACGAATTGCTGGACATTCGGAAGTAACACCACCCGATATTTCACTGGTTTTTGATTATTCTGATGTTTTGCTGGACATTGTTGTCGGGGGAGCTGCGGCGCTGATCAAGCGCTTCAGGACGCGCAGACAGGGGAAGCGAGCCGGCACGCTCATGAAGCTAAGGCAGCGTGGATTCAGGACGCCGTTGCCTAGCATCCATCTGGCGAACCTCCGCTCTCTACCCAACAAAACGGACGAACTCCTTCTGCTCTCCCGGACAAATAAGGATTTTTCAAACTCTGCTGCTCTGTGTTTCACAGAAACCTGGCTGAAAGACGCCATTCCGGACAGAGCATTGAGTCTCCCGGGCTTTCAGCTGTTCAGAGCGGACCGCGACTATATTTTTATTCCTTATTTACTTGTTCTATTTTTTATTATCTGTGTTTTTTGTTCTGTCACTGTCATTCTGTTACACTGTGGAAGCTTCTGTCACGAAAACAAATTCCTCGTATGTGTAAACATACCTGGCAATAAAGCTCATTCTGATTCTGATCTAAACCGTTTCATCGTAATGAAATCATTTACTCTAGGCCTAGATGGGACAAGTCCCACATCTGTCTGTGAGGGTAACCTCGGGTCCACTGAGCTTAAAATGCTTTCTGATTGCGTAAAGCTTAAATTGCTTCTGTCAGTGAACTGTTGTGCCTGTGTGATTGGATTTCATGAGATTAAAAGGTCTTCAGGCAGGGTGGACGCCAGTTTTCCAGACAGGCAGATAGAACTGGTGAAATCTAGGATGTGCTCTGCACTTTCCAAAGCTAACAGGTGGAAAGGGTAACACCTCTATACCTGACTCAAGAGTGAGGATGAAAAGAAACAGACACACTTTTCTGTACCACAATGTTGACTCAACAAAATCACTCTAGAACCTTCTACAATCACTTTTTCAATGACCAGAGTTACAAAAACATTCAGTCAAATGGAGAGGATTCAGTATGGAGAATCAGTACTGCTCCCTACTGGTGAGCCCCTCACTGGCTTATCACAGTCCTCAGTCAGTTGTTTTCTGCCTCTGCTGATCATATTTTCAACCTCCAGCATCATATGATCGCCCTATTGACCTGAACGAGAATAAAAATGCTCATGACTGCCTTATACTCCCCCTCCTCTTCTCTGCCAATGATATTAAAGGACATCAATGAAGGGAAAGGCTGATTCAATTTATAAACTGCAGCAACAGGACTGGCCTTTTCCAGCCTTCTAACAATGGTCTTGGATTCATATATAGCTGTACTCTCAGGGACGTTCACCTCCATTGTTCTGACGACAACATTGTATGTTCATAAATAGATGGACACTTTTAAGCACCTTCAATGACGATTACATCACAATGGCTTAAAAGAGATCTGAAATAAATAAATCCAAGAGAAACTGAAAAAAAAATATGACTGCAGGAATATTTTGAGTTCAAACGAGACCAAGTCAGTCAAACACGAAACTACATTAAAGCCAGAGAGAGCAATTGTTTGAGCCAGAGACTGACTTCATGGAAAGTCAACACATGACGCACCACAAGCTGATATCAGTGATGGCTGTAAAGCGGATTTAATCAAAGCTAAATTTTTATTGCGACTGGCAGGAAAAAAAGAACCTTACACATCCAGATAGCCAACTGTTTTAATTTTGGACAATTACTTCTTACTGGGTGGGTCTGGGATAAAGCTGGGCTGTATGACGACCAGTAAACTGGTCAAAATGAGGAATCTTAAGGAGTTTTTTTTCTTCTTTTCAATAGCTTTGAAAGTGGCTCATCCAGTCAGAATTTAGTCACAACAGTGTTTTATAATGTTAGCTCTTGTTTATAAATTTTATTTTGCACTGATGCCAGACTTTTTCAGATGTTCATTGTAAATAATCTTCTTCATTTCCATCAAAAAACAAAACAAAACAAAAAAAAGTAAATAGAAAAAATAATAATAATAAATTCAGATTACGTACCTTTTGTTTCTAAAAGAATAAATTCACTGGCTTATCCAAAAATAGGTATTACCATATAAATATTAAAATATATTTTTTTAAGAAATTAATACTTGTATTCAGCAAGGATGCATTAAATTAATCAAAACTGACAGTAAACATTTATCATGTTAAAAAGGAGATCTGATTCAAATAATTATATTTAATTCAATTAAATTCCATTTCAACAATAATAAGAAGAAATTTTTCTTGAGCAGCAAATCAGCATATTAGAATGATTTCTGAAGGATCATGTGACACTGAAGACTGGAGTAATGATGCGGAAAATTCAGCTTTGCCATCACAGAAATAAATTAAATGTTAAAATATATTAAAAATAAAAAAACTTTTTTTTATTTTTTAAATTGCAATCATATTTCACAACATTACTGTTTTTATTTTATTTTTGATCAAATAAATGCAGCCTTGGTGAGAAAATTTTTGAACATTAATGTATATTGTGATATATATATACTGTTAATATTACATAAAAGTAAGATTTTGGTCATACCACCTACTCCTCGTCACACAAAACCATTCATTTGAATGACACAGTTGTAAGTTGCTTACATAATCTCATGTATAGTGTGACGCCTCCAGCTGTGGGCAGGTTCCAGCGAGCGCATAACAGAACAAGCTTCTTTTATTGAATTATTTCATAAGCAGAATCCTGAAAAATGTGGGGGTGTAATGACAGAGCTGGCGAAGATTATAGCAGAAGGAGAGAGAACGAGGCGCCCAAAGTGAATGAGGCACAGAGAGTGAGCAGAGGTGTGCGAGGGTACTCACGCTGGTGACTCGGCGATAGATTTGAGCAGGGTTCTGACACTCGGAGTACGGGTACTCAGAGGTAGCCATCTCCAGCATGCACATTCCGAAGGCGTACACATCCACCGACTCGTCGTATTTTTCCTCGTACATCTCAGGCGCCATGAACTCAGGGGTACCTTAAATCAAAAGAACCATTCAGAACTCTCAGTGCCTGAGATCTCTACTCACCCCAGCAGGGCCGGGGAGAGGAAGGGAGAGAGGAGGTGGAGGACAACTGCACTGTTGCTCCGTACGGCCCTGAGAGGAGAGAAAGAGGGGGAGCAAAAGATATGGAGAAAAGGAAAAATAAAAATAAAAAAAGAGGAAGGGGGAAAACCGGCCTCAGTTAGTTAGCAGTGAAAGAATCCAGTTTTTCTCTGCAAGGCCTTTAGATTTTCTATTGCAGTACTTTAGACTAGTGCACAAAGCAGCCAAGCATCATCTCGCAAACAGGAAGTTGATTTAAGCCAGACGCACATGCGTTGGTGCAGGTTACTTTTAGAGCTGATTTATGGGCTTTCGAAACCGTGTTTATCTTTACAACACGGCCGTGCCGCCAACATGTTAAATGATGTACCGGACAGCGGTGGGCGACTAGCTATGGAACTTGATCTATGTCAACAACACAGTTATGGAAAACACATGACCGACTCACCTTTCTACTAGCCTGTAAGGAGAGAAGGTTAAGCAGGTTAAAGCACAGAGCAAGCCCATAGCTAGTGAGCGAAGACTCTCGTGCACTAGCATGTGTTAAAAGGCCTCGCACAGGAAAACGAGCTAACATATAGATTCATATTGAAATATTTCCGTTTTGGATTAGGTTGCTTTGTTGACTTACCACTTACTCGCCATTTTTTAGAATACTTACTGTATGAACTGCAGGACATTAAATAACCCATACAGTGGAGTGAGACCAGCTGAGATTATAGCCCTATAGTTTAAAGAAAAAAATTCTCAAAAACCAGGAAAAAAACAAAAACGGAAACAAGTAAATTTTAGAGGAGAGAGAGAAGGGATCCAGAAAGAAATTTGTCATAATATCTAAACCATCTGAAAAGGAAGAGGGGGAAAAAATGATGAGGCAATCAGGAAAACCTTTGGAAAAAGATGTTAGACATTACTGGCAGCAAGAGAATTTCTAGGATTTTAATAATTATAGACCACAGGTTCCAAACCAAAGTGTTTATTCTGTTAATAATGATGCAAAAAATTCCCATAGCACACTTACTAACAAAGCGTTATCCACCATGCGGCTTTGCTGGTATTCTTAAGGCATATATTACCCAAAATACCCCAAAGTTTATGGAAACTTAAGAGTGTTTTCACCTGTTGCATTTACAGGCCAATTAGTTTCAGGTGGGAAACAGCAGGATCTAAAGGTGTTCCCCCAGTTTATAAGACGTTCTCCTCTTGTACCCTTGGCTGCCTGGAAAACTGTGGTCTAAAGTGAACAGTGTAGCTCGGAGCTACAGCATGCCTTACATATCTGAGCGTAACTGACAGCAAATGCCCCACCTTCCCAATTTCACCGTATCATTGAAAAGACAAGCAGTGACATGATACATATTTTGGATTGTATACACCATGGTGAGGTGGGGAAAGCAAGAAAGTTCTAGTACTGGGTCATACCTATGACACTCTTAGCGAATGACGAGCGCTTGAGGGTGGCCAAGCCTAGATCACCAATCTTAACGGAGCCGGTGGGACCGGTGATGAAGATGTTGTCGCACTTAAGGTCCCGGTGAATGATGGGAGGAGCCCTGGTGTGGAGGAAGTGCAGGCCCTTCAGGATTTGCCGGCACCAGCTCCGCAACACCTTTATCTTCATCACCTTGAAGCGCTTCAGATACCTGAGGAACAAAGAGTTGAGAATTATCCCTATGTTCTTCTTCACTAGACCTTGACAGAGTAAAAACAAACAGCAGATGTATCAACAGAAGATGATACCTGTCTCCAGGTTTGGTGATCATGTCTTGAAAAGACTATTTCAACCAATGAAATGAAAAACAATGAGAAAACTCATTCAGGGAGGATCAGGGAGAATTAAATGATTACACGATGATGGGTCTGGGTCTTTGAAGCATCCATATGGACAGCTGCATTCTCATCTATGAGTCCCAGATAGAGAGGACAACAGCGTGTGAAGAAGGCAGTACAGCACTTTTGTTAGATTAGCTTGGCCTAATCAAATCTTGGAGCCAAGCCACAGCCAGGATTTGGCCTTGTAATCCTCATTACAACAATCTACTCAGTTCAGGCACCAATACAGGGGGAGCTGGGTACCCTTTATCCCATAATGCCCTAGGCGAAGACGGGCACAAGCTCACAAGCTAAACAGAACATATATAGTAGCACAATTGACTCATTTGTTAAGCGTTGTGACTTTATTTTAATCTGACACACCGTTTCCGCTCCAACCTGTTTGTCTTGAGAAGAATCAGATAACTGTCTGAAGAAACATCGGTTTATGGATAACTGTAATTGTGATTCAGAAATCGAATCCTTTCCTCTTCCTTTTCCTCTTCTCATAGTAAAAGAAAAATGGTTGAATAACATTGGATCAGATGAAACTGGTTTTGCAAGGCAGCACGAGAAGAGATATTAGAAGAGCGTTTTTGTGTAAACAGATTATCTCTGTAGTTTGCTTAGTAAGACTGAAGCGAGCAATAAGTAGTGCTTAGCCCAATGGCAGGAGGTGGGTGGTGGTACAGGGCGGCTTTGATGGAGTGTGGCGGCTGACTGACAGGTGGGAACGGAGCCAAGGGTAAGTCCCGAGGCAATACTGAAGAGAGCAACAAAGCCTGATTCAAAACGGTCTCATCACTCAACACACCCAGCGGCTCCCAGAGGGCCCCAACAGGCTGTTTTCCAGCTACACCAACAACTCTCTCCGCACTTCTCGAAACAATAAATTACTTTAAAACATTCCGTCCTCAACCATATAAACAGTCAAAGGCCTGAAACATTCAAGAAAATTTTATGAATTTTGATTGTCAGATTTATCTTTCAGATCAACTACTGTCACAGAGCAGTAGTTTGAATAATCTGTGTTTATGTACAGTATGTTTCAATCCGAAATGTTGGACTAGAAAGCTTTAAAGGTCTTTTATGTGAGCATACAGGAACAGGGTGAGGGACAACCCACCCCTTGAGCAGTTATGTCTTCGGCGACCCAGACAAAAATGAGAACAAAGATTAGTTTAGGCATGGCCATGTCTGTAGGACGCTCCGTTTCTACCTGACCTCTTGATTACTGTTTATCTTTGCGGTGGAGGAACAGCCATGCAGAACGCCACACATTGCCGGGATGCCAGGGATGATGAATACAAAGCAAGCCTGACATTGTTTCTCATTTTTCCTTTTTCGCTCATCTCCCCATGTCTCCTCCTGGCAGTAATAGTGGCATTCTTGTTGTTGTGAGCTATGTGACTGATAACTAATTGTGCGTGACTGAGCCTCTGAGGATGACGGATCTTTGTGGGACTCCTTTTTATGTGTCCTGGAAACTCATAACAAATTATTACAATCAAAATATTTAATCTGTTCTTATGTTAAAGGGCCAACCCAGTTCAATATGTCTGCATCATTTACTGGTTTTCTTGGTGACATCTTCATGTGCATGAGTCACCAGTTTTTTTTTTGTTTTTTTTATTTCAAGAAGATCTAATAAGTCTCTATGCCACATTTCTATGAACTGATTTGGAAGGTGGGAAAAGCAAGAATGGTATCATAGTCAGGTACTAGTATTTAAGTGGGTGTATGACTCTGTTTGTGTCGGAGCCCATACATCCACAGGAGGGGGCTGCTGGTCCAGTTTGTGGTTCGTATCACTACAGCTCCAGCATCTGTTCAGTACCCACAATGCCTGTCTCACATGAAGGTGACATGCCACTCTTCCCCTGCGATCACTCTGGTAACAGTTCTAACTCAATCGCTCTATTGTGATTGTGTTTTGTAACAGATAATCACAGCCTCTGTGGACGGTCCCGCTAATGGCGATGGACATGAGGCTGGTGAAAAGCATGTTTGAAATGCCATCCTGTTGTTGCATTTGAATGCTGTACCACAATACAATATTAACTGCAGCGGATGCTGTGAAGTGGAAAAAAAAAATGTGACAGAATGAAAAACCTGGGTAACACACTTTATGTAAGTGTTAACAATCATTTACATAACACCACAATCCTAACAAAACAAATGACACACTTTTGCTGAATTTTGCATTTGACCATTCATTAAGCAATATTATGTTGGACAGACAATATAATATAAAAGCGGACCAGATGCTTTTTACTAACGTTTTTAGGGTTCCCGACGTCATGAGCTCCGTCACCAGCACAATACACTTGCGGCCTTTGGAGGGCAACTCCCATGAGTCGTAAAAACGCACAATGTTTGGGTGCTGCAGGCCTTTCAACATGCCAGCCTCTTCCTTAAAGCGCTGGCGCTCTGATCTTGACAGCTTCCGATCCTGCAAGGACAAGAACAGAAGACATATAAACCTTTTAGCCACTTGTTTTACTTAAATGTGATGGAAACCATACTTAGCAGCCATTTATTGTATGTTAATCATTTCTCACTGAGCGGAGAGTATTACAGATATGCTTTAAATCAAATGCCATGGCTTTATGTTAAACCACTATAGCTCACGTGGAACCAGAGGGGGTCCATGCAACCTTAAATAACGTAACCCGACCCCAGATTCCTGCCAGACCTCCAAAAGAGCCTCTATAGACAACGCATAAAGCACAGGAGGGGACAAGACTCAACCAGTTTAAACACAAAGTGGTCCTCTTATCCTGTGCTTAATCCCTGTAAGGACCACACACAAAACACACCTATAAGAAAGAAACTACAAAAGCTTGGTGCAACTGGTTCAACGTGACCGGGCACTACATCATCTCCCTTGACTCTCTAACCTACCCAGAAAACCTCTCTGATATTCTATCCAGGGTAGCCTGACCTGCCCAACCGCAACAATGTCAGGGTTTTCGGATGGAACGCACCTCCCTGCGCATGTGAGTATCCAAGCGTTGACGTCAAAGTTCCTTTCCGGTCAAGCTGAGCTCTTATCAGCAGTTTAAACAGTGTGCGCAAGCCTGATCATTAATCATTATTATGATTGCTCCAGCAACCGCCAGTGATGAATTAATCCAGTGGCACTTTGTGGAAAAAAGGGCCACTTTTCTGTGGCCTACTTTCACACAACCCCAGCGCTTAAATCATATGTATTACATGAGCACTAATTCCATTCTGCGAAAGACTTGTCCTGCATACCTGGTGGGAAAATTGCAACGTGCATCTTATAAAAGCTATACGTAAGAGTTCAGTGAGGACACCTATAGATTCTCCAGCTATCTGCAACCAGTGTATTCGGTGTCATTGATGTGCTGCCATTCTAGAATGCTGATGGTGGCATTCTCTCCACATTAATGCAGACAGAGTCATTCATTTCCCAAATGCACTAACAACCGTACTAGCAGCAGGCATCTGCAACCCATTAAGTACCACTAATCCCAAAGGACAGTAGAGGGAGAGAGAGAAACAAAAGGGATTCAGCCTTAGATGGGGGAATGAAAGTGTAAACACTATTGACTAGGGTTCAGTGCAATGAGAGCAGAAAAAACGTGATGGAGAACGAGAAAATGCTGAAAATACATACTTGTATGCAAACGATTGGCCAGTGCATTGCAAACATGTACTCCTGTTGTGCGCACTTGCATACTGTGGTGGTATTTAGGTAGTTGGGTATGAACATGCTGACAGTTTAACTGACTTGCTCAGCAAGGTTCTCTTCACACTCTTTCTCCAACAAAAATTGACCTGAAAAAAAGTGACTATAGAAGACAACAGTTCACGCTGATGTCCGCTCTGGCACCCCTTTCGGTGCAAAATTCAGCTTGGAAGCATTCGTGTACTTGCGTACAGATTGCTTTTGGGCCCCTGGACCACATTTTGAGGCCAAACTTTAAGGAAGGCAGTGCTCGGAGTCTCCTCTCTGCAAACAGAGGCCATCTTATTTCCCATCTCATTGCGTCTGTAGATAATCTAATCAATGGCTGATCATGCAGGACAAAGAAAGAGGTCTTCTGCAGCATGCTGGGGGTTGCAGCTCTGCTAGTCTCTCTTCAGGTCTGGGGCAAAAAAGACCTCATTGATTGCGACTTAAATGGAGATTTTGGGCTCTCTCTCTTGCTGATAAGACACAGGAAGGATAAACAAGTGTGAGTGAGTGGGCGAGCACGCAAGATAGAGTAAGGGAAGTGATGCGTTTAACTTTGGCACCTCATGCAAGCTTGTCTTGGCAAACCACAAGCATCACTTTTAGCACCCCGCTTCTCAAAATAAAAACACAGGTGCTTGTGCTCTTCTCAATCATGTGATGCAAATAATTGAGGGTTTGGTTACAGGAGTAAACACAGCTTTAACAGACAACACACTGTAGGTTAAACTACATAAAACAGACAAATTAGACAAGGAAACCCTTGCAAGTGCAGGCAACTCCTGCATAGAGAGAGAGAGAGAGAGAGATTTAAAATAACCAAGATACCTGTGTTTACAGATATTTGTTAGCAGACAGAAACAGAATTCTTGGCAGCTGAAAATAGGGCTTTAAAAGGTGAAACACTGAATTATTAAAGAGCAGTTTGAATAATTAGTAACGTTTCTGGCTCTATCTATTGAGTAAATTCTGCCTTTGAGAAAATAAGCATTAATTTGGTTCAAAAACAACACTTTTAAACTTTTGAAGTTAGGGAGTGTGGGTGTAAAAGAGGCCGCATATGTGCCCTTCTTTTCTATTAACTAACTCACAGGCAAACAGATCAGCTTTTATCTCTAGTTCTGCTTAGCCAGTCACGTGAGCTTGTGCAGTTCAGCGAACAATCAGCTGTTTACTCGACTGTCGCACACAAAATATCTTTTGGTCTACACCTCTGGCCTGGCATGGAGATATAAACGCAGCTGTGGTGCCCTCCTGTCTGTAAACAAGCCAAAAAATACAGCAGTAACCAGAAACAGCAGCGAGCCTTTCTAGAAAACTCACCCCTGCACTTTTCTGAGAAAATAAGCCAAATGCTAATACATTAATGATAATGGATACGATGCCAACTCCTGAATTGGAATTAACACAGAGCTGCTCTGTTTTCCTCAAAAGGCGGAGTCTTTTTTACTGCAGTGCTATTTCTACAGAGTAATGGGACAGATAGTGTTCGGCCCACTGAGCGGCATCAATGCAGATGGGAGACTCTCACCTGATAGCGTTTTGCAGAAGTTGTGTGGGTGCACAATAAGATGCAATAAGACGCTCGTGGATGTGGCGGGAACTGGATCAAAGCAGCTTCGACCACATCACAGAGCTGGACTAAATATGTAGTAAGAGCAAACCGAACGTCATTTCAATCAGTGGATCAAATCTGTGGAGCAGGCTGAGAAAGAGGCAGCTGTGAGAGCCGTCTCTGAATAACAGCGCACCTGAATAACCCCTGAGATTTGCATTTGTAAAAAGGCAAATAAAACGGATTGGCATGACTCATGCTAGCGGGTTGCATAGCATTCTCGTAGGCGATGCCAGTGGGGAATGGAGGAAATGGTAGATCAAAGCTCTGAGAGATAAGAGTTGGCTTCAGTAAACGGTGAACCTCAACCGTTATAGATAAAACTAGAGGCTCCTGAACTCTGGGATGGTTACCATGTGCATCGGGACAGGCGATGCTTGAGTCCAAACAGAGGTTGTGTGAACCAAACTAGGCTTGCCGCGATAGACGGTGCTGACGGTGATACCGGTGTTAAGCCGCAACACCGGTTATGTCACTTGCCCACCGCGGCACCAAAGAACAGACACTACAATAAAAAAAAAAAACCGCGAATGCTCAATGCAGCGTGCCGAACAACAGTCGCATCACACAGATCAGATCATTTC